GGACACCAGGGCCCAGCTGGCTCCTCTGGACCTCTCTGCCAGCCATGGTTTAATTGAAGCTCCTTTTTCTGGAGGGTCCTGCACGCTGTGTGCTGCTTTGTCCTCTCCATGGATTTTCCCTGCAGGCTGGTGCTCCGTGCTCAGGATGTTCCATTTCCCAGAGTTTTGGCTGGCAGCAGGATGAACCAGCCCCACCAGCTCCCTCTGAACGTGCCTTGCTCTGCTTTCACTGGGGGGCAGAATAAATCAGTTTATTTCCCTTTCTGGACTGGCAGGAGCTTTCCTGTCCCTCAGCTCATTTCCACAGTCTGGAATTCCTTTGGGGTGCAAGGGGCAGAGCTGGAGCTGGGGAAGATCCCCTGGGCTCTGCACCCCTTCCTCATGCCTTGGATAAATCCCTGGCATCAGGGCAGCCCCTGGTGAGCCCCCACGCTGGTGGCACCTTGTGCCGTGGTGGGACAGGGATCATTGCACACCCAGGATCACTTTGTTCACTTGTTTTATTGTGAATTTGCAGGTTGGGGAATGGACTGGAACTGTTCCTACACTCGAGTCACTTCCTGAAGGTCTGATTGTTTCTTGTGAGGCTGGTGGCAGGTCCTGGAACGTGGGTCCATTCTGGTTTTTGGTCAAACATAAAGCAAAGCCTGGCCCTGAACCCCTCCCTGGGAGGTGGCTGCTGCAGCAGAGCCACGTGTGAGTCTCAGATGATTCCAGCCTTTGAGGATTTGGTGGGTTTGTGTCAGTTCTTTGAACAACTCTGTCCCTGCTGAGGAGTTTGGGGCAGCCCCAGCTGCATTTCAGGACTGTAAAATGATCTTTTGTCATTCTGGCTCTTTGGGATGTGATTCTGCTTTATCAGGGAGCTCTCCTCAGTTGTGCTGTCCAGGTTTTCACATGGGGAGGATCCTGACTTCTCGAAACTCCATTTTCAGCGTCACTGCCACTGGTGTCTCAGAGTACAGGAGGTTTACAAGTCAAATTCTTTGCAGCTCTTAAATTGTATGTGCAGGGAATGGCAGGAAATGCCAGAACCCAGCAGTGGGATAGAAAGTGTACAACGAAATGGAAAAACATCCTGTGTGCCTTTGAGGTTTATTTCATTTCTTCACTGGTTAATTCCCCTCCTTTGGCTCCCCCAAGCTCCAGTTAAAGTGTTTGATTTATTTCTCCTTGTGTGGTGGGGGTCCTGCCTGTTGGAGCATCGTGGGGCCACAGCAGCTCCCTGGCAGGGTCTCTGAGGGATCAGAGCTCTCCTGCACTTGGAGACTTTTCATTTTTATTGGTTTTAATTTTTATTGTTTGCTTCACAAAGTCTTGGTACTATCTGTACTTACCTGAGCTATTCTCACCCCTGCCCACACTCCATGGTTAAAATCCCCGTGCTGGGTGTTTGCTGTGCTGGTGTGCAGTGAGGGAGCTCCTGGAATTGCTGCCAGGGAGGAGGAGCTGAGCTGGGCCAGGGGCTTTGCCTGTTGTTCCCAGAGCTCTGATAAACACCCAGGAGGCAGCTCCTGGCAGCTGCTGATTTTAAAGGAACGTATTAATCAAATTAATTGAGAGTTCCTTTTAATAATCATCAGCACCAACATAACTTTGTGACGTGATGTTTTCAGTGTTGCCAAAAGTGATTCCCCCCAAAAGGATCTGTGCAGATAAACCAGCTGATAAAGTGTTAAATTGTCCCTTTTGCTACCTGATAATCCAGTTAAGTGGTGATAAGAAAAACAGCTCCTGGAGAATTTCAGGGCAGCAGAATAAAGCAGTTGGTGTTGCAGCAGCGGCCAGCCATGGGTAACCACGGCTGCTGGAGCAGCGCTGCCCTGCCAGCCCCGGGATCCCCTGCACTGCTGGGGCCTGCAGGGAGCCCTGCCCGGGGCTCTGCCCGCCAGGGCATGGGGCAGGGATGGCAGGAGCAGCCTGGCATGGCAGGGCATGGCTCAGGGCACGGGGCAGGGACGGCAGGAGCAGCCTGGCATGGCAGGGCATGGCTCAGGGCACGGAGCAGGGACGGCAGGAGCAGTCTGGCATGGCTCAGGGCAAGGAGCAGGGATGGCAGGAGCAGCCTGGCATGGCAGGGCATGGCTCAGGGCACGGAGCACAGCACGGAGCAGGGATGGCAGGAGCAGCCTGGCATGGAGCAGGGATGGCAGGGCATGGCTCAGGAGCAGTCAGGGCACGGCTCAGGGTTGGCAGGAGCAGTCAGGGCACGGTTCAGGGCACAGCTCAGGACTGGCAGGAGCAGCCAGGGCACAGTCAGGAGCAGCCTGGCATGGCTCGGGGCAGGGATGGCAGGAGCAGCCTGGCATGGCAGGGCATGGCTCAGGGCACGGGGCAGGGATCGCAGGAGCAGCCAGGGCACAGCTCAGGCTCTGCTGTGTCCCCAGCCCCTGTGCTCCCTGCTGGTTTGGGTTCTGGCTGCCCCCTGACCTCTGTGCCAGGCTCTGACACAGCACTGGCATTCCCAGGGAAAACAAAACCATCATGTGCTCATCCCCCGGAGGGTTTGTGCTGTGCCTCTCACTGCACAGTGGGTGGGTGGGCCCCGAGCAGGGACCCTTTATCCCAGCAGCCAGAGTGTGGGATCCACAAATCCCATCCATAATGGTTTGGGTTGGGAGGCACCTTAAGGATCTTCTTGTTGCACACCTCTGCCGTGGTGGGACAGGTGTGCCCCAGGCTGCTCCAAGCCCTGCTTGGACCCCCAGGGACCTGGACCACCTCTGCCGTGGTGGGACAGCTCCCACTGCCCCAGGCTGCTCCAAGCCCGGTCCAGCCTGGCCCTGGACACCCCCAGGGACCTGGATGGGCTCTGGACGTGGCAGAGCAGCCCCTGCTCAGTCCTGGGCTGTCCGTGGCTCCCAGGCTCTCATCCCTTGCCAGGCACTTTGTGCTGCTTGGAGCATTTGTCACTTCTCCAGGCCACCAGGGGTAATGAATTACTGCAGGGGTGCTGTGACAAGATCCTGAATTTGCAGCTTTCATGTTTTTACCGCCTAATTCCCTCGGAGGTTTTTCCCTCAGAAGTGCTGTGAATTAACCTGACAGTTTCAATAACTGTGCACATGTTTCCTGTTGTGGTGGAAGGTGGGATGAGGATGTGAAAGCTGAATTTACTCCACTGTGCCCTTTGGACAGCAGACAGCCAACTGCCCGTGCACTCTGAGTGCCAGGGGGTGACAAAGGGCACACTGATATTTGCCATTCATCCCTAATTCCTCCTTGCCTTTTCTCCTGAACTCCTGTGAGCAGAGGTGGTGCCAAGGCTAGCAGGGCACCATGGCATCTGCTGCTTTTGGGAAAGCTCTCGCCCTGCCTGTGGGATCCCTGCCAAGTGGGACATTTTGGGAGAGCTGGAGAACACTGCTTGTGGCCTTGGGTTCATTCTGTCTAATTTTGACTGGGGAAAATAGAAAGAGCATGTAAAACTGCTCAGATTTCTGAACCCGCTGGCAGTGAGACTTTCAATCTTCATTTAAAATGAAGTTCATTTTTAAAACTCAGTAGTGTTTGCTTTTAAAGGGGAAAAAAAAGTTGCGGAAAGTCCAGGTTGTGATCATTGCAAAACAAAATGAAATGTTTTATGTGAGTCAGAGAAAAACTTGGGGGGTTATTATTCTCCTTTATTCTCTTCCTGTTCACTGTTTCATTTCTCCCTCTGAAACACAGGTTTTCCCTTTGGAGCCTTTGGAGCAGCAGAACCCCTTTGCCTTCAGGCAGCTGCAGCTCAGCTTCTCTCTGTCAAAAATCAGGGGAAGCGAGGCTGCCCTGCTCTGTGAGGGGCTCAGGGATGGGCACAGGAGCTGCATCTCACCATTTCCAAGCAGGAGTTTGGTTTTCCCAGCTGTCCCGTGCTTCTCTCGGGGTTTGCTTTGCCCTGGGAGGAGGAGGATGCTCCGGGCTTGAGCCTCCTCCTCCTCCTCCTCCTCCTCCTCCAGGTCCTTCACCCTCCAGCACCTTCTCCAGTGCTTCAATTACCAGGACTTTCAAATCTGGGTTTTAAAGCCTATCTGTGAATCTCTCCCTTGTCCTGCTGCCTTTTAATTAACTCATCCCCACTGCTGGTTTTTATTAAGAGCTCTGATACGTTATTAATTAACGCACTGTGCACTGTGGTGAGCAGGTTGGTATCAAAGATGCTGTAAAAGATGAAAGTGATTACTACTGAGAAACAAAATAATTAAGGCAAAAGTTGTGTTTTCATCTGCCAGCAGCAACCAGAATGTCAGTGGAGATGGGGGTTTTTTAAATTCTTTTTTTTTCTAAAACAGACTAGACAGCTGTACTGTGGGAACTGTGCTGAGAGCGGGTGGGTTTTGGTCTGGCTGAAGGTACCTGTGGCTGTGCTGATGCTCTTGCTGTGTTCCCTGGGTGCTTATGAGAAGTGCCTTTCACAGACTTTACCTTGAGGCTTCACAGTTTGTGTCTCCATCCTGTTTGGTGGTGGGCCCTTGAACAAACGGGGATTTTCTTGCCCAGTGTGGGTTTAGCCAATATCTCAGCTTTGGCTGTTCCTGTGCCAGGTAACTCATTCCACTGGAGGCATTTTCCCCCAGTAGCCCTCAAGTTGTAAAATCAAAAAGAATCTCAGCCCTTCAGTGAGATAAACCTGCCCAATACCTTTCTGCCTCTCAGCCCGTTGTTTTTGGGGTTTGTTATCAGTTTAGGCTCGTTCACGTTGCTCTTGTTTCCTGTTTCAATTCCTCTCCTTTTCACCCTTCCCCTGCCCATTTCTTTGCTTGTTTTGCTGTTCTGCAGTGGGTTGTGCACAGTGTGTGTAGTCCCTGACCCTGCCAGCCCTGCAGGCTGTGCTGTCAGAGCAGGAATTGCGTGGATCCCTCGGGATCTGGCCATGGATGCTGGAAGGGCAGTGCTCCTGGGGAGCCTCCTCCCCTCCCGGGCTCCCTTTGGGCCGTGCCTTCCCCACTGCCTTTGCTGGGCTCTCTGACATTTGCCTGCCCTCCCCTGAAGGTGCCTTTGTGCTCTGCTCTGTGGCACAGGTGGGCTCTGCATCGCCCAGTCCCTGAAGATCCCCCAGGACCGCAAGGACAAGAGCATCGACTTCGACAGGATCATCCGGCAGCTGCTGGAGACCCCCAACGCCAGGGCCATCGTCATCTTCGCCCACGACGAGGACATCAGGTGGGGCTGGGCCCTGCCTGGGCTCTGCTGGGGAGGGGGAGCCAGGGAAAGGCTGTGCTGGAGCCACGTGTGGAGCTGGGAGTGGGGGGAAGCACCGGGCACTGCTGCTGCCCGGCTCGTGGGTGCCCAGGCTGTGCTGGAGAACGGGGACCAGGCTCTGGGAGCTTTTCCTGGAGCTTTTCCGTGCTCCTGTTGGGTGGCAGAGCTGACCTTTCCTCTCAGAGGAATTACGAACACGCCCCCCTCTCCAAGCTCCTTCTACTCGGTGGAATTCATTAATTCAGTCTATTTTATGGCAAATGAAAGTTAATAGTGATAAAGTGACTTGGATGCTCAAGGTTAAACCACATGGAATGGGCTCATAAAATAACACAAAGAATATTTTATGTTTCATTATTCGCTTGCATATTCTGGCTCCAGAATTTGAAATTAGCTTAAAATTGTGATGGATTCATCAATTGCTGAGAGGCCTGGTCCCACAAAACGAGACAAAAAGAATTTAGGGAAAAGTTTCAGTAAAGTCAATGGAAAAACTCTAAGTTTTAGTGGAATCAATAATTCAGTTGTGGGATGTAGGGTGAATTTAAAGAGAAATCCCATTGGTGCTGCATGGATCATGGGATGGTTTGGGTTGGGAAGGACCTTTGGAGACCACCCAGTCCCACCCTTCTCTGGCCCAGAGTGATAGTGAGTGTCCCAGCCCCTGAGCTCTGCTGGGTCAGGAACGTGCTGCTCCTCCTCACCACAGCCTCAGCGAGGCTGGGGAGACCTCTGAGTCCCCCCCTTCCCTGGAGCAGCTCCGGGTGCCGGTGGATCCCCTTTGCAAACCAAACTTTCCTCTCCACAGGCAGGTCCTGGCGGCTGCCAAGAGGGCGGATCAGGTGGGACATTTCCTGTGGGTGGGCTCGGACACCTGGGGCTCCAAGGTGAGCCCGCTGCTGCAGCAGGAGGACGTGGCCGAGGGAGCCATCACCATCCTGCCCAAGAGAGCCACCATCGAGGGTAAGAGCCTGTCCCTGTCCCTGTCCCTGCTCCTGCTGTCCCCCGGCACGCACGCTGTCGGCACCTGAACGCGGCCCGGCTCCTGATGTCTCCCTGCATTCTCACCTGCAAAGCCGAGGCTGTTTCCCAGCTGAGGAGCTGCCAGCCCTGGTCTCAGAGGGTGGGAGGGTGTGACAGGGCTTTGTCCCTGGGAAGGAAAGCCCAGCTGGTCTGGACCTGCACTCAGGAGGGAGCCTCCCGGGCACGCGGGTCTGCTCTCTGAAACAGGGGAGAAGTTTTCTACTGAAGGACTAAAACTTCATTTTTCCATCAGTGGTTTCCATTTAAACTCAGCTGAATGTTTATTTCAGATCAAGCGCTGTATTTATCCACACTGCTTGTGTGCTTCAGAAATATCCACAGATGTGCATGTATGGCAAACTTAGGGAAGCTCGTTTTGCTGAACCCTTTTCTTTCTCAGCTTTCCTTTGTGCTCTCAAGTGTTTGTTGTCTGACCTGACCTCAGTTTGTTGATCCTGTTGTGGGTAAAGATGCTTCAGCATCCACGTGGCTTCCCCTGGGCACCAGCGAGGCTGGTCAGTCTGTGTTCTCTGGGACAGGGATGAAAAGTCGTTTCCAGGGGAGGCACTGAGCAGAGAAACCCAACTCCCCTGCTGGCCCGGTCCTCAAACACGCTGCCCACTTTAAAATGGGTTCTGCTGTCTTCACTCCCTGGAAAACCAAATATTTGCATTTTTCCTGTGCCTGCACTCCCTGCTCATCGGTTATTCCTCTCAGGTAGATCATCTGCTTCATTCTTTTACATTTCTAGCCCCCCGAGGCGCTCTTGGATGTTATTTCTCCGTAAATACAGAAAGTTGACAGACAATGAAGTGGTTTGTTTCTGAAAAGCAGGATATTTTAATAAGCTTTTCACACTGTCTGTATTCATCCCTGAGGGTTTCTGACACAGAAACGAAAATTCTGTCAACAGTACACAGAAACAAAAACTTCCCACGTTTGTTTGTTTTGAAATATTTTCCTTTTATGTTACACAAACCCCTCATGGGAGGCACGAGGGGGTTTTGGACGCAGTGACTGAGGATGGCAGAGTGGGAGAGTTCAGGTGTAGAAAGTCAGTTAAGTTAGAGGTAGGAATAGCAGTGTATTTGGTGTATGTGCAAAAAAATTGTGTTTATTGAGCCTGCAAGTATCTCCTCGTTCAGTGGAGAAGTGCCTGACGTAGCCTGGGTGCCTTTTGCACTCGTGGCCACACAGGCTGGGGGATTCCTTGGTGCCTGAATTACATTTTGCAAATCTCTGTGCCTGAGGTGTCCTTCAGGAGCAGACACTCCTTTGGGAGCTGTGTGCTCCTTCCTGGGGAGAAGAGCCTCGGGCAGGGTGGGAGCTGTGCGGGGCAGGGTGAGGGTCCCTGTGCAGAGCAGAGGGCTCCTGCTGCTCCCTGGCCCCTCCAGGGGCTCAGGCTGGTTCCTGTCCTTCCCAGCCCCGTCCAGCTGTCCCCAAATGCCATCTGGATGTGCCACCAGCTCCTGCTGGCATGGGCTGGAGGGGGGTTCAGGGAGCAGAGCTCATCCCAGGGCTGCTGGAGCAGTTCAGCTCCCACATTCCCTTGCAGGCTGATCCCGTTTCTGTCCCTTGCCCCAGGAGAACAGCCAGTGGACGTGTCAGGAACCCCCAGGCTTTGGTGTTTCCATGCCCAGGGAAGCCCTGAGCCCTTGGGATTGCTGCCTTCCTCCTGCCCAGGCTGCTGGAGGTTGTTCTGGTTTCCTTCCTGCCCTTTGAATTGTTGAATTCTGATGTTTGGCCACGAGACCCAGAGAAAGGAATTGGACATTTTAATGCCATTCTTTCATCATCCAGAAATGAACACCTAAAGTTCAGCAATGCATAGCTTTTGGTGAGGGCATAGAATAGAAAATAAAGCACCTTGTTTTTCCCTGCAGGCTGAAGGAACCAGGCTGCAGGAGCAGGCTGAGCTCAGAGCCTGAGCAGAGCCCAGCTCCTTCCCAAGCAGCATCCCAGGGCTCCAGGGCAGGGCACAGCTCAATTCCCTCTGCATTCACTGACAGCTCTGTGTTAGAGTCATGAACTCTGTGTTAGAGTCAGGAATGAGGGGCTTGCTCTTGTTTTACTCCTCAAAATCACCTCTTCTCTTTTCCCCTTTCCTTTTATCGCTGTCTGGAGTGGTATTTGGGATATGTTGGAAGAAGGTTCCTAAGAAACCTTGCTGGAAGCAGAGAGGGCACTGCAGCTCGTGTGCCTTGACCTGAATCTTGACCCTGCCTCTGGCACAGGAAAGGGAATCCTGTGTGGCTGCCCAGCCAGGAGCCTCCAGCTGCAAGGGAGGGGATGTGCCTGCGAGCTCAGGGGTGCACGGCGCTCTTGGAGCAGCAGGGTTTGTCTGCAGAGCTGCTCCTCACACGGGTCAATAAACTGAAACCCTCACTGGACAGAAAAAAAAAAGGCATCTTTCAAATTATTCTTCACCCCCAGCGGTGGCTTCAGTTCAAATTCCAGGTGTGAGGTGCAGGTGTGCTGGGGTTTGACAGCTCTGCACACAGGTACCAGCTGATGTTCCTGCTTCCCTGGCACTGGGGATATCCCAGCAGCCTGTGACTCCAGAGGGGGCCTGAAGTGTTTGGCTTTTTGTAGGATCAGGCCCCAGATCCACAGTTATTTGTCTTGGTACTTGATGCCACTCTTGGGACAGAATTTTCTTTGCCACAGTCCCATGGGGGGGATTTAGGAAATCATTAGATGAACTGAATTCATTCATCTTAAGTCAGTCTTAATATAGCCTGATTGTGTTTGATGTAATTATGCTGAAAGGATGAAGTTGCATTTTATTTGCATAATTGCAGTAGACAGTGAGCCAGAGAAGTGCACATGAAAGAGGAATCACTCCTTGGCAAGGTGGGAACAGGCTCCAGTGCCAGCCCAGCCAGGTACAGGGGGCACGAAAGGCTTGGAGAGGCTTTCAGAGGACAAAGAGGAGGTTGGATGTATTTATTCATTTGTTTGTCAGTTCACAGAGCAGCTGTGGCAGCAGGATGCTGTGCCCTGCTCCTTGGTGCTCTGAGCTGGGCCCTGCTGACACCAGAGGAGATTCCCAAGCCTCATCCTGAGCCCCAGAAATTGTGAGGGATGTGCTCAGCTCTTCCTCCCCCCGGTCCTGCCCTTTGCTGTGCAGGGTTTGTTGGGCTGGGCAGTTCCAGCTGTGGCACTGCTGCACTGAGCACTGCACAGCTCGGGGCTTTCCTCTCGGGTTTTCCTCGGGAAGGCTCCTCCTGCCCTTCCTCAGGAGTGTGCTCTGTCTGCATGGACCCCAGCTCCCAGGGAGGGGAGCAGCTGGAGGAGAGACACAGAGGATAGGACAGAGATTTGGTCTGAATTATTTAGAAAGTCTGGCAGAAGCTTTGCTGATGTGGAGAAAAGCAGTCTTTACTGTCTGAGCTCAGAATTGCTGCAGCTGAGCAGTGGGATTCAGATAGATTTCAGATTCATGGGTCAGTTCCAGAGGCTGGGCATGGGGCTGAGGCTGGAGTCTGTGAAGCTCTGGAGGAGAATGTTGAGGGATTGCTCAAATCCAGCACAGGGATGAGCCTGTGTATTAAAAAATTAAAAGCTGCAAGCGCTGCAAGCCAGCAAAACTGTCCCTGGAATCTTCAGTTGTTTGTCTTCCAAAAAGATGTGAATCCCATTTTGTGTTCATTTCCAACAAGAGCTGGTTTGCTCCTTTTTTATCTGGGCAATATGAACTTTGGAAAAAACAATGAAAGAGTATTGACTTAAGCAAATGAAGATGAAACTCCCTCCTTGTTTAGGGCTCTGAAGAGTTTTACCCTCACAGCCCCTGAGTGCCAGAGGGAAGGAGCTCAGGGTTCTTTTTTCCCTGGAATGTTCCTTGGGAATGATGTGCTGCCCTCAGCCCTTCCTGGCTGCCCAAACACAGCCCTGTGTCTCCAGCAGATCCATGGGCTGCCCAAACACAACCCTGTGTCTCCAGCAGATCCAGATCCATGGGCTGCCCAAACACAGCCCTGTGTCTCCAGCAGATCCAGATCCATGGCTGGGGCTCAGACACAGCCCTGTGTCTCCAGCAGATCCAGATCCGTGGCTGGGGCTCAGACACAGCCCTGTGTCTCCAGCAGATCCAGATCCATGGGCTGCCCAAACACAGCCCTGTGTCTCCAGCAGATCCAGATCCATGGCAAGCACAAACACAGCTCTGCAGCAGATCCAGATCCATGGGCTGCCCAAACACAGCCCTGTGTCTCCAGCAGATCCAGATCCATGGGCTGCCCAAACACAACCCTGTGTCTCCAGCAGATCCAGATCCATGCAGAGTGGAACAGTGCAGCAGGAAAAAGGCCAGGAAACCCCTCTGGGAGGGCACTCCCAGCTCCGTGGGGCTCAGCAGGGGCTGCTCCTGGTCCGTGCCACCTTCCAAAGGTAATTCTGCCAAATCTGCTGGGAAGGCAGCGACTCAGGGGCCTCAGACTGATTATTGCTGCTGGAAGGAGGATGGTGTAATTGCTTGTGGATAATGATGAGGCCTAATTAGAGCCCGTGTTGTGCTGCCACGGTGCCCATAGCACCTGCATGGCTCAGGTACAGCCCCAGCTCCTCTGGCTGGGCAGGGGGTGACACTGGGCTGGTCCCCTCAGTGCCACCTCCCTGAGCTCCCTGCAGGCTTTCACTGCTGATTCCCTCTCCAGGTTCTTTCCTCTGGCTGCCCACAGTGCCCACCTGTGCCCAGCAGCCCTCAGCCCCTGGGCAAGTCAGGGGTCGAGTCCAGGTGTGAAGCAGAAATCCTTCCCCTCCTTTTCACCTTTTGTTTTCTGCTTCTCTGTTTAATTACTGCTTCCCAGAGCATGACTTTCCAAAGAATATTCCAGATCTAATGGGATCAGTTGGTTTTTCGGGGGCTTTGGGCAGGTTTACTGTCCCAAAGCCAGGAGGAGGTGAAGCCACCAGAGCTGGGGCTGCTCTGCTGCCAT